CTCCGCCGCCGGTTGAAAGCTTGGCCGATACGACTGAGCCGAGCTTAGAGTCGTTGTTACCGGAAGGGTTCCTCGAGAGGAATAGAGACAGGGGGTTAGTCTTGAAAGGGTGGGCTCCACAGGTGGAAGTGCTGAGTCATGACTCGGTAGGTGGGTTCGTGACACACTGTGGGTGGAACTCAGTGCTTGAGTCGATGCGTGCGGGGGTGCCGATGTTGGGTTGGGCTTTGTATGCCGAGCAGAATATAAATCAGTTGGCAATAGAGGAGGAGCTGAAGGTGGGTTTGGCTCTGAGGAAGAGGGAAGATGGGTCAATGAGCGCGGCGGAATTGGAGAAAGCAGTGACTGAGTTGATGAACTCAGAACGGGGAGAAGCGATCCGGGAGCGCGTTACGGTGGTTAAAAAGAAGTTACTAGAGGCATTCAGTGATGATGGACCCTCTCGTGGAGCCCTGGCCCGATTGGCCGATGCAATCAGACGTGGTGGACTTCAATGAAAGTTTAATTACTTGACACGGTAATTGGTATTATTTTGTTTTTGGTACAAAGTAGCTGTCAAGAAGGAAGAATAGAGAATCGATTTTGGGAGTTGTGATATGTTTTATTTTTATACCATTATACTGTGACTATAAAAAAAAACAAAGAAAGGGAAAAAAGAAAAAGGAAGAACACAGACATGCTGGGGGTGATTATGTATGTATGGTTGGATACAAACTTGGTAGGGCTATTAAACAAGGAAGATTACAAACTTGGTGGCCCATAAAGAAAAACATGTTTAGCTGCTAAAATCCTACAATAATGTTTCTTGGGTGTGGTTATATATTTATGTGAGTGTTTTTGTAAAAAGAAATTGTACTATGTAAGTGTATGTATGTTTCTTACATGAGATGTGAATTTCATTTACACAGGTTCAGAAAGCTGCTGCAAATTAATTAAGAACATCTTACGTTAAGGAATTTTAAATAATCTTTTAACTCTTTACGTCTATTTATTAAGAATTGACACCACTACATTTTACATCTACAACTTCAAGAGACCCTGTAGTTAAATAGTGAAAATCCCGCAGCTAAATGGTTTAACCATAAAAATATTTTCCGTAGTTTGCCTTGACTAGAAATGGCGTGGCTAAAAGTTAACTACAGGATTTAATTGTTCTATAGCTAAGAATAATATTTCTTGCCACAAGCATAATAAGTATGTGGCAAAATGTTTTAAACCTTTTGCCACAAAACTAATATTCTTGTAACAAAAAGGTTTATTCTTTAGCCACGAAAACTAAACTCATAGCAAAATACTTCCTTCTTTAGCTATGAAAACTAAACTCATAGCAAACTGTTTTACTATTTAGCCATGAAAATTGAATATTATAGGTAAATTAGATAAGATTGAAGCAAATAGATTCACATCCATAGCTAAATGTAAAACTACTTGCCAAAAACATCAGGCTTGTGGCAAAAGAAATAATAATAATAAAATTAATTTCTGAGTAAAATTAATTATACTAGAAATCTACATTTTTATTTATAAATGTGGTAGATAACAAGAGATTAAGTTTCAAATAAACAATTCAAATCATTATACAACAATGTGAAAAAGAAAGTATGATAATTTTATAACTCAATGATCATCATGTAACATCAATATAGTATATACATTCATGTCAACTAGTCAAAACTCTATTATAAATCACTAAATCTAAACATTAAATGCTTTTAGAATAATAACTTTTCTAATTTATGTAACATTTTAAGCTGTTTCTACATTCATTTCACTTCTAATATGATAATCATAAAAGGAAACTCTGGGTTTCTAGAGGGATAGATGGCTAGATGTAGGTGAGCTTGCTAATGTTTTTCCTAGATTATTAATAATCTCAACAGAGAAGGACAAATCTATCCACCAAATGGGATTGTGGGAACAAGGCAAATGGAATTGGCATTTCAATTGGAGGCGACAGTTGTATCCATGGGAGACGAGAGATGTGTAGCAATTTGTGAACTTGCTACAAAATATACAAGTCCAAATTGGAGTTGAAAACCCTTGGATGTGGAAGCATTGTTCAAGTGGAGTTTACTCCTCCAAGTCAGGCTATCTTTTACTTGAAGATAATCAGCCAATGCCTAATAGAAGGACATTCAAGAGGGTATGGAACACTCAAATCCCTCATAAAGTATGTGGGTTTCTATGGCAAGTAATATTGGATAAAATCCCAATCAAAGTAAACCTTTTCAAACAAAGAGTTCTCAAAGATGTCAATGAAACTCTATGTAGCATCTGTAATGAGCACAAGGAAGATGGAGATCATCTCTCTTTACATTGTAAAGTTGCTTTGGAAATATGGCAGATATGCTTCACTTGGTGGGACTTATCGACAACAAGATTATCAACCTGTTGGGAGGCTTTTGTTTAGCATGAAAGGCTTGTTCACTCCAAAAGATTGAAGCATGGTTGGGAGGTCATTTGGTTTGCAATATTGTGGACACTCTGGGGTGTTTGAAATGAAAGGATTTTCAAGGACAAGCCAATCGACATCAATAGAATATTTGACTTAGTCCAAGTTAAGGCATTTCATTGGCTAAAATATAAAGGCAAAGGTAATAATAT